GGGGGGGGGGAGGGGGCACATCCACCCCATGCTCATGAAATGTGAGAATCCACAAGCAAGGGAAGCTGCCCCAGACACCCCTTGTCCTTTCCTGGAGCCCCCCACACCGGTTCTGCTGCCTCTCTCCTCACACCCCCCCTGCCATTTCCTATTCCAATCTAACCTGTTCCTCCCTCTTGCTCTCATTCCCAGCAGCTGCCTCTGCCTAGCAGTCACTTGGTAAAGAAGGGGAGAATTCCCTGGCTAAAGGTAGTACAGCCTCAGCATCATTAGAAACTATGAGAAATGCGAGTTACCTCCATCAGGGCAGCCTTTGACGAGCAAAGCTGTGTGTAGAAAATTGGCAGCCATCTTGAGGACAGCCTACAGCTCCAATCCTATAGACTGTGCAGTGAGAGCATCTATTTTGCTTCAAGTGAAAACTCAAGTGTAAAGGCAGAAGTTAGCCCCCTAAAATATCAAAGACAGCAATACTATATCCTAGCGACCCTGCATCATGTCCAACCCCTGGGTACTTCTGAAGGCAGTGTGCTACACCACCCCTCAGCATGGGGACAGCATGCCCCAAGTACCACACGCACAATGGTAAGTGCTGTACATGCCTGGGCTCTGAGCAGAACCCTCAAAATGCATGGAGTACATGCATTGCTTTTACTAGGGCTGGCAGGAAGGAAAAACAAAAGTTCACTACTTTTAGCTCCATTCCATCATGCGAGTCAGATAAATGAAAGCCACTCTTAACCCAGCCCTGCAGGCCTGGCAAGTTCAGGGTTCAACAGACAACATAGGGTTGCCAACCCTCCAGGATTGCCCTGGAGTCTCCAGTAATTAGACATAAATCTCCAGGAGCATGCTGAGAGATAAATGATAGGGCATTCATTAAAATAAATATTAAATACTGAATCCAATTTATACAGTAGTCCAGTGGGTTTTTAAAATGTAATACTGTAGTAACGTACATTTGCCTTCCTAATGTAAAGTCTACACAATACAATCTGTAACTGAAAAATGCAAGCACACGGCCATGGTTGCGTTGTGCATCGTGGGCACACTGGTGTTCCAGAAACCTCGCAGAATAGATTCAAACAGTTGGCAACCCTACACCAACATGATTTGTATACAGCCAGTATGCAGCCTGAGAGCCTTTTTTACACCACAGCCAGTTCCCATATTCTAATCTCTAGCTGGGTAGTCCTACTTAGGTGTTGCCCCGATTCTTGCCAGCAAAAATCATGTTTTGACCTCACGGTAAACACTTTGTTCCCTGCACTCAGGGGATTATGGAGCCCTTTAGTGGGTAACTTTAGCAGAGAGCTAAGAGTGAAGCAGCCACCTTATTACACCATATTTTCTTACATACATTGTACCCTGCCGTGATATGCACCCTGTTTCTGAAAGGTGGACTTAAAGGAAAAAAGATCTTTCCTTCTAGTAAGTAACTGAGTAGCACTACATAGGGAGCTGATCATCTGCACTTCATAGTTTCACTTTCATCTGATAACAAGCAGAACAGCACTTACTGTTTCCCCCTGTATAATGAGCACTTTAATTCCCAGCAGCTGGTTTTTGGAAAACAGCATGTGTATGTATATGCAAGAAAATATAAGTTTTAAAACTATAGAATTTTTTTGGGTAAAATATGTTGTATACAAGTTTCATGAACATGTGGAAGAGATTTTTTTTTATCATCTCTTAATTGGGTTAAACAATATGAAACCACTTGCAGAAACCCACAAACTCATGTATAAGAAACCAAAATGCCTTATCATATATTCCATAACTACATACTATTTGTAGCACAACACCACCTCTGGACATTCAGGACCTTATTGCACTAGCCAGCATGTGGCTATGACTCACTTTAATATTCCAAATAAACACCACAAAGTCAAATAAAATTCATAATTGTGTGGCTTTATTACACAAATTAACAAATGTGAATCCAGTGTATGAAGTGGCAGTGTTTTCTTTGCCAAATTACAGATAAGCAACTTCCCTTAATATTAAACTTAATTTAATGACTTACCTTTCACTTACCAGATTAAACAGGAGGTCTTCATGATGCTACTAACACAGAATAATGAACATGTGATGTTGATGTAGTCTCTTTATTAAGTATTAATCCTTGACAGGGCCCCCCCAGCATCATTAATATACAGTATATTTCCCAGTTACCTTTCTTGCTTTATTAGTGTAGATTTGTTGATTGCTCAAGATAAATAACCATGCATATCAGGTACACTGAAATAATCTCTCAGTTAGAAACAGAATAGCACAAGCAATAGTTGCATAGAAGCAGTAGAGTTAAAAAAATAAGAAAAAGAAAGTGTTAGTGTGGATTATGTGGTGGTGAAGTATCCTTGTGATTAAACTTGGCTTTTATAAGAGAAAGGCTAGAAGTACTCCTGCAGGAATAGTCATTATCTTCCTTTTATTTAGAATAACGTCCTCATGGTGCATACTACATTGGTGCATTTGGCCTAGTTTGAAGAAAGAAAAGCTTAAAAGAATTCATGGCATAATGCAACCATTTGTATGTGCTGTAATGCAACATATTTTGACCCGTGGTGCACTTTATCAGATTTGCAGCTATTATTTTTTAGAATACACTGTACTTGAGTTGTGCTGCTTTATATCAAGATAACGTAAGCTTTTCAAATTCTTTACTTGCTTAAATTTGAGAGAAATATAGTTTTGTTTTTTTAATGTCACATTTTAAAATATAGAAACTAAAAACAAATCTTGGCTACAATGCATCTCAATATTCCAAGTTTCTCTCTTCAAAAGATGGTACACAATGTGCTATTTTTAAACTCTAACATTAATCACAAAATTCTGAGTGAACTTGATACCTCATTAATTTGAGGGTTCCAGAAGCACACAGAAGTTGGTGATCTGTGCAGTTTCACTCCTTAAGTGGGTCTCAAGGAAAGAAACTCCCTGGATCTGTGATGACAGCAGAATTCAGAAAGTATTTCTGTTATTTCCAGTTACACAGACAGATTCTTTTTCTTATGCTATAGATGGTTGAGAGAAGAACATAAGAAACAGGTTATGCTAAGTTTGAAGCAGACTTGCACTTGAATTACTAAAGGTATTCCAAAGTGGCTGGCTGAACATGAAGCCTTAAATGTAAAGATATATCACCAAAAGAAAAGACAAGGTGAAAAAGTCCTATTTAAAAATTTCAGAAAATAAAAAGGGCAGGGCAGGAGTTGTTTTTGCTTTGTACCTCACCTTTCCTAAAGGATTCCTTGTTTTAAGCATGAATTGTAAGGGTTCCTGCTTCGTATTAATTATAACTCTCATGAAATGTATTAATATTTTTATTCTCTACCCTGATCTGGGAAGCATTATAAAAAAAGCAAGAATCTGCATCTTATTACCCACCCTCTCTTGTTAAGATCACCAAAACAAAAGCATAAAATGAAAAGCTGTTAAAGGGTGCTAAAACAAAAAACACATTCACTCCTAAGAAAATTTCTTTAATTTTCATTTTATGGAAATACATTTTTTTTTTTTTTATTTCCATGATACAAAAATGTTAACTATCAAACAGTTTCTGAAATCTATGAATGAAGATTGTTTTTAAACAAATGAAGGGCTGGTGCAGTTTGCAGGTTTGTCACAGGTTGCAAAAACATTTTTACACAAACAGAAACCACTGAAAATCAGATCAAGACTTAAAGACTGAAAACAGTAATGGAGGTGTGAAACCAAAAGAAAACCCACCTCCCACCATTCCTGGAAAGGTCATGTTTTAGGAAAGTATAAGTTCTAGTTTCCAAAGGACAAAAAGAAGTGTATACATAGGGTTAAATTTATAGATGGATACTGTTTGAAGTCTTATTGGAAGGAAACAAAAGTATATTATAAGCTTTCCAGAGAAATTAGCTGGTAGAGAGCAGTAAGTGATACTGACAATACTATCTCTCGCAAGACTTATGGACAGTATATTTATATTGCCTGAAAATCTGAGGATGAGAAGACTTATGTGAAAACTTGCCTTAAGCATGGGAACCGCCTAACATGAAATTCATAGCAGTGCTGATTCTTTTTGTACATTTTATAGCCAACATGCCATAGTAGGTGACCAAAATACATTTAGTCTTGCTTCTTAAATCTAACATTGTTTACGACAGCAAAGATTTCACATGATCAACAAAGAGAATTGTAAACTAGTTAATATATACACACGAGTAAAACTATGACAATGATTGTTCAGTAAACAGTTTAAAAAATTAAACTGATTTTCAGGACACACACTGCTTTTTGACACCACTTTATTTAAATAAAGTATGGCTTCCAGTGGTGCATTCTTGTAATTGCTTTGAATCAGCTAACTTTAAGACAGTTGTTTGCTACCACGAATCAGGGACTTCAAAGAGTTCAGTGGAACTGCTTGTGATGCTTCCTAGAAGGAAAGAAAAAAAAGTGATAACATTAAAACTACTAATCTCAAGATATTTAAGAAAAGCAAGTTAAAAACAGAAATTGGAGATCCTTATTTTTTTAATGCTGTAAACCAGTATGAATCTCTTTTGTCACGGAAAGATTTGTGCGTCTGAAATCAGCTAGCCAGAAAAGATTACAATGGAAACTGTTAAGAGATTGCCTACGTGCAGGAGTATTTGTGAAAACAAAGGTCCCTGGCAGATGTTACACTTAAGATGTGACTAGTCTGTTAATCATGTCTTAAATGGTAACCTGGCCACGTGTTCAGTGAAGTAATATCACTACAAAGTGGGAAACCAGCCCTGATGCAATTCCAATCCAGCTATCAATTGATCATTGGCCGGCAGAGCCTGCACTAAACCCGTTGGAACCTCAATGCAGTCCCAGACAAATCAGCCTATTGTTGGGTTCCCTGTTTTCAGTTTGCTGATGCACAAAGAGCCTGGGATCATGAGGCAAATAGCGTGCAATTGGGATCTGATTCCACATCCCAAAAGCCTCACATCCTGCCATGCACACATGGCATATGGGAGGTCCCATGGTTGGGATCGGGGATCAGATCCTATAGTGCCTTTATGTAAAAATGTCTGTCAGTGACCAAAAAGAGAAGAAAGCTTGTTTTAAACACTTCCCACTGGGTTCAAGACTATGTAAAATAACAAAGCAAAGGCATGGGTAATATATTAAGCAATGTAAGTACTACAGAGACTTTGGAATTTTATATTGGGTTCTGCCATTAATTTCTAGTTTTATAATGACTAATTTCCAACTTCTCATTGCACTATTCAGTTTATTATAAAAACATTTTAAGATAACGACTTAAATAACAAAGTTGCTATTTACAGCAGTTGAGAAGAGGAAATATTGAAAAATAAATATTCGCATTTAAAATCACTTTTAAATATGCTATATGCATTTCCAAACAAGTTACTGCCAAATGTACTGTACAGATTTTATAATCATACACAACAAAAGCAGTCTCTTGAATACTTCAGTTGCCAGATCAAACCAATACACCCTTCCATGTTTGCACAACTCATTTTATTTTTGTTCTGTGTTTGGAAAGAAGCTAAGTACAAAAGAAGAGGTCTGACACAGAGAAAAATCAGACTGTTCAGAATTTAGCTTGTGTAACCCTTATCTATTCATCACAGCCTCAAGTCACAATTTGTATCTAAATTAACTTGGGTACCTCAACTTATGTGTGAACCATCATCCACCCTCAATTCATAAAATAAGAAACGGCAAAATACTGTTGAGTCTTAAAGCTACAAATGAAAATTTTTCATTAAATTAGAAAGTGTTATATGTTATGAGTTTTAGTATATTTTAGTGGCTTTTATCAGAGCAGCATGCATCTCATTCTGAGTCTTTAGTAAAGCTTTAAATACTTGGTCAAAACCACCAGTAGAAGAGCACTCAGAGGCAGACAGGCATTTGTCTTTTACTGTGGCTTATATATGATTGACAATAACTTCAGAACTTATTTTAAAACTTAATGAAAACTGTAACTGTTTTAATTCAAAATTCACATACTGTGGATACAAAATGTAAAAGTTCATCAGTTCTTCAGCTGAGACAGCTGCTAGCATAATTTAGGTACAACAATGGGCTTCTTAAAGTGCAAATAGTACGTGCATAGATGCCCAAAGTAAACAAACATGCCGCTTGAAGACCATTTGACAACAATGACCAGCTTGAAAGGATAAGCAGTAAAAGATAGAAAGAGACTAGACTTCACAATTTGAGTCTACTGGTTTATTATTTTTTCTTTTTTTATAGTTAACATTCTATATAGCACCAGCACCTTGGGACTGAGGAAAGATTACCATCAATACTACCACTGTAGTGGTACTGAAAAACTGATTATGCAAGTTAAGATTCCAGTCTGGAGACTTAAGGATCTGAAAGGGTTAATTTTTTCAATTAAGTAGCATTTGAGATTTACACAAATTCTAGAGAGCTCATAATGTTGGGGACACAGTATCACTTTTAGGCAAGTCATTAGAGCTACAGCTGAAGTGAACTGAAGTGACACGACATAGAATGTGTGGATATAAAAATGAAAAAGATAATCTTTACTCTAGGCAGTTTTCCAAATAAGCAGGAACTCAATGAGTAACTACATCATAAAAAAAACAAAACTTGATTCTTGTCTGCACAGGGAAGATTATGAAGTTAAAATTAATCAACTAAAAGGTGTAAATATACATGCTTTAATTTAATACTCTGAGATTAGCTAGTGATCCAAGATCACTATTTCTGAGTTAGATCATCTGCACAAAGGTTTTTAACATACTTTCACTTATGCATGTTGACATAATGCTGAGGGTTTTTTTGGTTGATATGTTTTGGGCTTTCCTGAGTAGACAAGATGTAGACTGGATAGCTGAGTAGTATAGCCTTAAGACTCTTGAACACTAGAAGTCCCTGCTCAGCCCTGCAGGGAGTAGCATTCCTCCCCCTCCCCAGTAATCAGCACCTTCTTGAAGGAAGAGAGGAAGAGCACAGGACTATGGGATACTGGCTGTCTCCCTTCCAGCAAGACAACTGTATAGGCATTCAAGTTAGATCAGGAGGAAGAAAATCTTCCTCATAAGTGACCAATTTAACTTCTTGCAGAAAAGCCAGTTTTCTTCCACAAGAAATCTCTTGAATTTCTGTAAAGCTCCCTTTTTGTGCCAGGAGAAAGGTTTTTTTTCTCTTGACAAAAATGCAATGTCTGTACATAGGCATAGTACATTCACTTAAGACAACACTAAGAAACCACCTTCATAAAAATAAATGTAAAATCAATTAGGTCAGTTTAATGAAGTGAGATAATGAGAACTGGAATACATAAATGCACTGCAGGGAGAAGTCGCCACCCCCAAAACTAAGTATAAATGTGATCATGTCACTCCGAGTGTTAAAAGACAGGTAGAACAAGCAAGTATACTCCAGGATCCTAGCTTTCTATATGAAGAGTGAAAAGAGCTTTTTAAATTACTTTTTGCCTAGAGCAGGTATAAAGCCTCCAGGATAAGCTAATGAAGAGGTGCACAATCATATGTGGCAGGATCTTGAATGATCTCAAAACTTCATATGTATAAAAATGGAAGCTTGAATTTGACCAACTGAATACAAATTAATTATAAGAAGAATAATTTTTCATCCTTCAAGGAGACATGATTTGTCAAATTTCATTACTCACTTAAATTAAAAGAAACAGAAGCATTTTGTCATTCGGTTAATCAAAGGAGGTTAAGCCTGTATAAATTCTAAACACCACATGACCTCAGAGTCCATACCATTTCCAGTCTCCCATTTTACAAAACTCATTTAGCTGTAAAAGCTCAACGTGTATTTTAAAGAAGCTATGAGCCACCATTATGACATCTTGCCATATTAAAGGTATTTCACAAACCCTTAAAAATGATTTACTGCAAAAATGTGTTTGCATCAAGATGCTTTGAATTCTGTCAATTAAATTTAGATTTCACTATGTTTTCAACACTCATGAAGAGTTTCCAGTTTGTGCCACTAGCTTTAAACAGTACAAGTTAATACCATATGAAACAGAACAATTTTGAACCACAGCTCAAGTCAGATGAGTGGCCAAAAACAAAGTAAGAGTGACACAGTTTGGTTTCAAATCAAGTTATGCCAGTAGGATTCATATAGGAAATATTTTTTACTTCCTAAATTTCATTAAGTTAATATAATTTACTATAAATAGCTGCTGTTATCCTCCACAAACAGGAAAAATTAGTATATATTACCAAGGCTGTGCAAAAAGGCACCAAATACTTCTTAGTATCTTGCCTTATCAAAATTTTACTGCTGTAAATTCCAGATTTGTGCATCACAAAATAGACAGAAGCAATCAAATAAAACAAAAATTTCAATCTTCCTTCCTCCTTTTCAGGGCAAGAGCTACATGCACCTATTATTATAATGTACTATTATTATCACACCTATATTTACAAGTCAAGTAGACATCCTTTTTGCCCTCAAACTAAGTGCTCTTCATCAACTGGAGTTAGGTACACAGTGAAGGAAGAGTTCATTAAGTATTAACTAGGGGTGCACCAATAAAGAATTTGGGGACTGATACCGATAGCCAATATTTAAGGAGGCATATTGCCTGATACCAATCCAGTATGCGATACAGCTGCCATCAGGTGGTAAGTCCGGTGTGGTGGAAGGGGTGTGGGGGGCAGATCAACGCTGCCCACAGTGAGGGAGGGGGCAAGGGCAGGCGCTGCCCAGCCAGGACGGACGGGCGGGTGGGGGGCAGCTCCCGCTTGGACCCCAGGAGGGCAGGGGCAGGGGGGAGTGTTCCCCGACATCTGTGCAGCGTGGGGCGGGCTGAAGCTGCGGGGTGGAGCCGGAGCCGGCGCTGCGTGGCGCTTTTCTTGCTGGGGGCTGGGCTCGGAATGGGCTCCAGCAGTGCAGGGACAAGGCTGCAGCCACCCCAAATTTTCTCGCAGCTCCACTCCCAGCCCCGCAACACCAAGCACAGCCCCAGCTGAATGCCCCACCTCCACCAGTCTTTAAAAAGTATTTATTAATTAAAAGGTTTTTATAAACCTCTTTTAAAAAGTTTATATTTAATGTTTTTCTTGAATCCAAAATGCTTTCTAGGAGTGAATTTAGAAAATCTGTATAGTGTCATGACCCAAAAGGCATGATTGTGTGTGTGCGCTTCGGCATCAGAATTAACCACGTTAAGTTGCAGAGCATTGCACAGGAGTTTCCTGTAGCAAGAGGAAACCCCGGTGCAGGGACCAGTTTCCCGCCTTTTCTGCAGCTTCTTTTGCAGAGTGAATTGCTCGAGTTGCAAGAGGAATGCACGGTGCAAAAGAGTTCCCGCCACC